TAGAGTAGACGTTTAACCGTCTATTTTTAATATAACTGTTTGTGATAAAGTTATTCTGTAAAGTGTTCTTAATATTTTTCAGGGCCGCAAGTTTTTTAGATTAAGTTTTCAAGCAAATGATTTGAATTTCTGAAGTTTAAGTTTCAAGTTTACAAATACTATTTCTGTATATTTGTTTATTTTGTTGTTTAAATACTTTAGTTCGGATTCAGGGATTGTACAACCACTGTTATATCCGAAGCAAGATTCGCAGCGATCTTACATATACAAGGCTGCGAACCATCTGTGGATAGACTCTAGCCTGAAGTGGTTGTTTTAGGATTGGGCGTAGGGTTAGGATCAGGCTTATGCTCATTCTTAGGATCATTCTTATTCTTAGGCTTGAGTGTAGGCTATTCGGCTTAGACTTATGCGTAGGCTTAGACTTATGCTTAGAGTGTTGTTTTGCCTGTATGCATAGAAAGTGCGGTGCTCAGTGAAGATTCGCTAACGATTAGTACGAAAATGACTTAATGACTGCGAATGTTACGGCAAGAGATTCTTTAATCGTCTTCCTTGTGCACCGTAACGCTGACGGATGCGGTATGCATGGCATGTGATTAACTCTTCGGTGTTGTTTTGCCTTTAGTTTAGGCCAAGATTTTTGCTTAGGATTAGAATTAGGCTTGCTTAGATTGAGCTTAGCTTAGAACTAGGGTTAGGCTTAGGTTTCGCGTTAGAATTATTCTTAGGCTTGGGCTAGGCTGAGACTGATGCTTATTCTTTGGTTTGCCCTAGGTATAAGATAAGATTTTGTTGAAGCTTGCTATTATGATTGGATAAGTTTAGAATTAGACTTGGATTTAAGCTTGGACTAAGATTATACATAAGCTTAATATTAGGCTTATGGACTTAGCTACTTACGATGCATTATGTGACGTGGTTGTTTTGTATGCTGTAGTCAGCAGCGGTAGAGCCTTTCTCATATGTTCCGCAGAATAAAGTTTTGATTGAGTTGTTCAGCTTTCCGTTTTCCGTCGGTTTCTGCAATGTACCTCAGCAAGAAGATTTTTTTAATATATTGACCCAGCATCTTTTTATTTCGATATGCTTTTCTTGTACAGGAGGCTTTCACACTTACTTTGGGATCTGCAAACTGCGGTTACCCTGTATGTGATGATAAAACTTTTGGTTCTTTCACTCTGCACTTATTTTTTGTGCGATTTCTTCTGAAGTTTCCTCTGGTGATTGCCCCCCTTTCTAGGCTGTGGATCCTGTTTAACTTACAGTCATTTTTGTTGAACTGTTTAAGTGTGGTGTCTCTTTGGTTACCAGGTCAAGTTCAGTTGAAAAATCTTTGTTCACATGATTGAGCGAGAAAAAGTTCGCATACAGTTTATTTGGTAATTCTTCAGAGCATAAGTTTACCTTACATTCTTATGGTCGGAATCGGAAACTATATTCTTTAAAAACGGGTTATCATTTAAAGTAAGAATGTTACGGATAGACTACCAGTGAGTTGTTAGAGCTAACCTCTGTGTTTCAGAAACCTTAATTTAAATGCGTGAGGTAAAATCGTTTGCAATTTTTGCACCGTAATCGACTGTGGCCACGTAGTCTTTAATTCATTCCTAGGATATGTACACGATATAGAGAGCAAATTTATCTAAATATAATATAAAACCAATGCATGATTTATTGAAAATACGAATTACTTTTAAAAGTAATGAAGACTTTCATAACGAAATAAGTTTAACAATGAATATTTTTCGTCTATTCGTCTAATCACATGGTCGTTTGTAGGAATACCCTCAACATAACCGATTCAGCAGAGCCTGGTGGTTTATGTTGTTCCAGTACATGGAATCTAACGCAGGATGTCCAATACCAAAAATAATCGAATGGCCTCTGTCTTGGAAGCGTTGTAAAAAAATATTAAATTTGCCAACGCGTTACATGTATTGAAAGTTCAGCATTTGAATGCCAACGAAACATTGGTAACTTGTCAGACGTTAGGAAGCGATTCAGCCACCGACTTGATTTGTTCTTTGCTTCGAAGGGCGATTGCGGATTTCTTTTCTGAGAAAAGAAGCTCACCGCTTTTTGTTTATTTTTTGAATTTCTGATGCATCGCATGACGGGAATATTCGTTTTTTGTTCGAACTTAGTACAAACTGCACTTGCAAGTTGGTTGTATGTCTATTTTCACGACTATATAACGAGAATTGTATTTCCGGAAGAAATTATCTGTTTTTTCTAGTCTTTTGTACCTATGTTGTTTCTTGTGACATGCTTTTATTATGTTGTTCTAGAGTTGATGATAAACAATCTGGAATCGATCTAGAAAGCGCTCAGAATATAAATTTTACGAGTCAGCGTATAGGCGTCGTGAAGCATTATATTCAGATTCTTTGCCATCCAGGTGAGCATGAGAAACCTATGTAAAGGTAACGCGACAGCTGAATATTTTCGATTAAATCACCTGCTGTCGCTAAGGAATCTGTAGTTTGCCTCTTACTACCCTGATATTCGACATACACGTCAAATCTCCTTTAAACCTTGTTAATCCGATGTCAGCTCAAGTTCTATCTTTCTTGAAGCCCGTATCCGTTGCTAATCCTCTGTCTGGTTGGGTAGATTGTGTTAGTTTTCTTTCTAATGCAAAAGGCAGATTGCAGCTTAGTACCGTCTAGTTGCATTTGTGCCTGAAGGGAATTCAGAGCCGTTATCATTTAGTTGTGATTCCGACGCTTAGCAGATTCACAAAGTTTAAGGCTATCAGAGATGACAAAGCTCGCTGTGCAATAATACGAGGCAGTGTGATATGTCTAGGCTGTCAGTCGATTCAATTAACTGACCCATCTGCTATGAACCACGAAAAATTTCCATTTCTCAGGTTAGTCGCAGCAACCACAGATGGAAGATGCTCCGTTGTGTCTGGTACCACCGTACCTGTTAAGCCGATCGAGCCATGTTTACTGCCTTGA